AGCCCATCACCCCACGCCCACCCCCACCCACCCACCCCCACCCACACACACCCACACCCACACCCACACCCACACCCACACCCACACCCTTTCACACTCATGGACTGCTAACCAATACATTACGACTGTATTTAAAAAGGAATTTCATACAAGAACTTACGATAGTTTACTAAAATTGAAATAGAAATTATTTGTATCGTGGCTACTTGTTACAACCACACCCACCCTCACCCTAATATACAGAATTGATGAGCGAGCTTTGTTATTCAATTACAAGACGGAGGTGACAAAACAAATATTCTTGATTTCATAAATTGATTCGATACAATTTTTCTGATATTTAATCGTCTGATGGACTTTCATCTTTTACATGGGAATATTTTGCTCGATGGTGCTCATTGTCCATCTTTCGGCAGTGTACACCGTATTTGCAAGAAGTTCGATGATCTTTCTCTTGTGGTACGTCTTCACTACCGACAACAGGATGTGAAAATTCTTTACAATGGTGATGATTTCCAATGTTTCGACATGTTGAGCCCCAGTTACATTGTGGTTTTTCTGGATTATGATCGTGTCGATCTCGTCGTGGTGATTTTTCTCGTGCTACTGAAAAAAGAAATATTTTCACAATTAACCTGTCAAAGCGGATATCTTATACCTTCTTTTGCTTTCGTTCCATAGACTTTTTCACCGTGTGAGTATTTTGTCCGATGTTTTCTCGACTCGTTGCGACATGCACTTTGATCATGACACGGTTTAAGAAAATCGGGTAAATCCGTATGACGATAAGCAGCTCGATGAAACGGATCAATTATCTGGTCACATTTCTTGTCAAACTTACACATAGATACTTTATGGGGTTCATGTGTAAGATAAGATTCCTTCTCACGACAGAGTTCCGAGTATGGACATGGATGTGAATATTTCGAGTTGTGTGCAACACTATCGGTTTTAGAATACTGTATAAGACAGTTGACGTTATCGCGACAAGGTACTACATCGCCGACAAAGAAACGTTTCATCATGCCGAAAAATCCGCCAGATTTTTTCTCGTCAGCATCTTTTTTTGGCGAAGAAGGTGATGGAATTCTAGCATCATTATCATTTTTCTTATTTTGTGCTGGTGATGGTGAAGGAACTTCCCTATAATCTTTATCGAATGTCGGATGGAAATCGACTTGTTTCTCGAAACAAATGATCAAATTACGAATCGGAACTGCATGAGAACCGGCACTGACATGGATAAAATTCAATTGATTTAAATCGAGTGCTCCTCGGCTAAATGCATGAGAAATTCTTTCATGATTGTAGATTCCATTCGGACCGGCATGAGACAGTGTGACTGTACCACTTGAACGATCAATTTCAAGACAAAATGTCATGAGATCGTCGGTATTACATCCAACATAGAATGTATTCGAACTAGCAGCGAATTTGTTACTCTCTTTTAAAACCAAATGTTTAAATGGTTGATGATTATTCAGATACGAATAATTTTCATGATAAGGCAAGATATTTGCTTTTGGTTTTCCAGCAACGTAACATGTTAAACAACGAAGATCTGGTTGTCTATTGTCCTGATCGATTGGTTCATTGCATAGCGTCAACATCATGTCACCGTTGACCACTTGCCAATAGATATAAGTCATATTTCCTCGTGGTCGGTGTTTGTTTTGAAAACAGTACTGTTGGTAGGCTTGCTTAATGGTTAGTGGTAACATGTAATGGTTAGTGAAATCACTTGATGCTATTGTAATTGCTGTACCTTGAACAGGTCTCGATGGTGGATATTTTCTTTGTTCAGAATATTGTTTAAACAATTCCTTAACAACAAAATCTTGAAAACCAGCACGAGATTTTGATTTCGGTACTGGCGTATGAGGTCCACGCGGCTGATTAGGGTCGCCATCGAACGATACAATAGTGAAATTATGTTTGAAATTTGCATGGATTGCCTTACGGACGTCATCACTGAATGAATCGTAAAAATTTTTTGGCATATAGACATGATCGATATAGCTCAACGGAATGAGTCGCGGTAGATGGCCTTCAACGGTCAAATGTGCATCGACGTTGAGCCAACGTTTGTGAATCTGATCAAGATCAATATCCATTGAATTCAACTTCAAATCCAAACTTGTAAAGGCGATCAATTCAAGAGCAGCTGCATATTCATAGCCGGGAACCGATGCGTTCAATATTGCTTGGTGATACAATTTGACTCGTTCGTCAAGTGAACCAGGATCCGAACCCCACCATGGGCGCAAAGTAAATAGACTTCCGCTGGCAAACGATGTTGCTGCTTGAATACAAAAATTAGCATCAGGGTGATGTAAAATCTCGCGTTTAAAAACAATGATAACATCGCCATAGTAGTGTCCCAAATTAGGTCCGAGAATACTAAACACACTTTTGTCTGTTTCCAAATCTTTGTCCTTGGAGAACCCAATTCCCGATGGATTCATGTGAAGTTTAATGGAAGCTCGAGCAATTTCCAATGCATTGTTTCGTATAGCATCCAGATCGTTCTCTTTGAGTATACGTGAGAGAAATGTCTCCCTCGTCTTAATAACTTCCGAACAGGACGTTTGATAAACACGAACCAGTGGTGCTGAGGCCCCTTCTTCACCTGCGACTGTCGCCAGATGAGTGTAGAATCCTTCTTTCTCAAAGATATCTTCGACTAGGGCGATGATATATTCATTAGCACGTTCTTCCACGAGTTTCTCTCGTAATGCACCAATGCGTCGTATTCGACCATGTTGCAAAACAGAGTTCGCAACGAATTTCGAATGTTTTAAGTTGACCATATAGTCTCGACTCATGACATGTCCATGAAGAAGGATCGATTCGAATATAATCCGATTGCATCGATGAATAGGTTGAACCGAACGCAACCAATCGAGAATTTCACGAGGAACAGATCCGGATGGTAGTGGTTTCCAATTGTTCTTTTCAACATAGTCTGTGACACGTGCAATAATATTCTTTTGATTTTCAACAAAGTCAATGTCCTTATTCAAGTTGTAGTAACGTAAAATGCCACCATACTCGAAAGTTACGGCATGTCGATATTTGGTTACGTGATCAGGTTGACGACGATAGTAACATCGATCATCATATTTACATGGGAGTCGCACATCATCAATATTCGAATGTGTGAACGAATTCAAATGATTCTCATCGTTAAGCTGTTTACATTTGCCATCCTTCAGACAGACATAACGAGCAATATGAATGGATTTTTTTAAATGCAACGCTGTTTTATTGTCACAGTTACGGCCAGCTCGACATACGTGAGCATAATCAAGGCAATGCTGCTCAACGCTAGATGAACGTTTGCGGCTGTCAGCGGCATCTGTGAATTCGTCGTGAAATTTGCATTGAAATGGTGTAAACGGGCAAGGAGTAGGAAACGGGTGTGCAAATTCATCCATGTGTTGTTTATCGTGAAAATTGACACAGTGATTTCCATACAGACACTGTGGTGTACAATGGCGATAAGCATTACAATGGGGTTTAATATTCTTCTGATATTCAATGCATTTCTGAGCCTTTACACATAGTGGTAAATGGCGAAATTCTATCAAATGCTCATATGTCATCTGTTGGCATTTTCCTCCGTCTGGACAATATATTGGATGTCCGAACTCTTGATTATGCTTTCCGTCATCGATCTGTGAACATTGACCACCATGTTGACATAGTTGTCGATGAATCAATGAGGTTACATGCACAACATCCTTAGTCTTTCGACATTTACCCGTAACGGATGCATATGGGCAAAGAGGTGGATGGGAGTATTCTCGAGAATGTTTAGAATCATGCATCTCATTGCATTTAGCACCGAATTGACACGGTGGCAGATCAAAAATACAGATATCACCCACTGATGAACCATCAGATAAAAGTAGATAAGGACCAAACATTGTATTTGGTTTATTCATTGAAGACAACGGTTCTATGGTATTTCCATCAAGAGCTTCTTTAAACGGTTTGAAGTTACCTTTCGGATTCAAATGACTGCCGGAATTATGATCATCAATGACGGCAAATATAATCAACTTGAAGAATCCTGCATACTGTTCGATAACCGAACGAAAGAGTTGCACAACATGATCGGGAGGATTCTTGAATGCACCACAGCCAATAGCCGATAGTACTAAACTTTCGTGTCTATGGTGATAAGCAATAGCAAATATGTTCTCAATTTTTTTCCTCATTCCCACTGCATATTTTCCTGCTAACATATTTCCATCTAACTTTGGATCTCGATAAGCAGCCATTGCTAATGAACAAACACCTTCGAGAGGTTTTTTCATAAAGGCATATCCGGTATCTTCGGATTGACGAAAAACAGTTATACCTGATGTATAGATAGCTCCGAATTCGTTCATCGGATACATAGTGCTATCGTCAGATAGACGATCAAGTTTACAATTCGATGAGCAATGGTAACGTGTACTTGGTCGTTTGTGCACGTCATCGAGACCAACGTCAAGACTTCGACAATAGTCCGATCGTCGAAAAAGATTTTCTTCTTGTGCTCCATCACCTTTTCGATAGCCACCACCGGGATTCGTGGCATTGGCCATGTTAAGAAGAAGTGGCCGTTGATCATTCTTGGCTAAACGTTCGTAGACAAGAAGACAATCTTCATTCACCACTTCAACTCGTGTTGAATGATATGGTGGAACCGATGTCGGCATTTTTTCACGTTGTTCTAACTTCGATCGATGGTCGTAAACGATTGTCTTCATTTGACTGTCTAAATTCAAGCTAATGTCACGTTCATCGAGCTTATAGCTTCCCTTTAGTATGACACCGATTGTATTCAACATCACCGTTACCCGCAATTGATGACGTGTTCTATTGGTATCTGTTTCTTTTCGATCACGTACATTCTTATTCTCACGATCGTGAGGTATTGTTCTTTTAAACTGTTCGAGCCATATTTGAGAATTCCACTTGTATCGAAAGATTTCATGTTTAGGATCAACAACAAATTGCATTATGTCCGCTTTGTATTTTGGCATTTCTGTTTCATACCATGTGTCGGTATCAATTTCACTTCCTTCTGGATTGCTGGAAGCATTATAAACCTTCACATGTAAGCGCAAAGTGTCATCGATGCGAAGCACGCCGGCCGTGACACGTTCCTCAAAAACATGTTTGTTCCCAAGTTCAAGAATGAGATTTTCTCCGTTTTGTTTATGATTGATTACTTCTCCAGCAAATGCTGGATGATTGATAATCTTCTGGATGGAAAATGACGGTGGAATAGGATGAAGAGAAAGACGACAACTGAGGCTGTTCTTCTTTGAATATGACTTGCCACCAATCATCAAGTGGCTTTCTACTGACCATGGTCGTGCAGCATCTGTGGCAAGAACACATGCATTGCCTGTCTGTTTGTTTAACTGGACGTACAGAGATGATACTGATAAACTCGATTTTTTAATTGAGATACCAATAGCTCGTCGCAATTGATCTTCACTCAATGCTCGCGGTAGATCTTCGAGAAAACTACAATCGGCACAAATGTAGACACGAGCAAATTGGTCACCAATCGCAAAGTCCGGATTCTGTTTAATTTTGAGTAATTGATCTAAGGATACAGAGATAACACGATATATATTGGGAAACTGAATGTTCAATTGATCACAATGGGGCAGTCTTTCACCCTTGTACAACTCTGACCAACGGCGACTTATTTCTTCAGTGGTTAGTAGATGAGTACCACCTTTGTCTTGTTTCCCATCTAGTACAATGTATGAAATTAGTTCTAGTGTAGGAACGAACGATATCTTATCGCTTCCATCTGTATGCAATGTGATAGTTCCAACCTCCTTGACAAGATATTTTTTGTCTTGAACTTGGGCAACAAGAATAATACCAATGCCGAAACTCGTATAACACTTGATGTCGACCGGTTCTAAGTGACAGACTGTTTTGATGCGATGAAGAAGTCGCTTTTCTAGTTCAGCGCCATCTTTGATGTTCGTCGGCAAATCTTGAATATAAACGGTTCTTTCATTCTCTTGATGTGGCGCATATGGTTTCGATGCATGGGGTGTCGAGGATTTAGAGAGATCAGGCCTATGAAAGACATCTGAAGCAGGCGTAGACGTTATATCTGATGAAAATTGTGGCTGTTGACCCTGTTGACACATTTCACAACGCGTTCGAGAATTATCATTCTGATAAGTGCATACAGGACATTCCCATTGACTTTTTTCTTGTTTTTGTCGATGAATGTTTTTTCCACTTCCACCCATCGGTGAATTAGTTACATTTAGTTGCTCTGTAACAAAAAATTTTTATTCATTATTCTAAACTTTTCGGACCAAAATCTGGTTATGTGTTGTTGATCATGCTAATCATGAATATCAGTATTAAAATTATCACAAATGATTTGAAAACAAGCGCTCATTTTTTTACTTTAACGTTTCTGTTTCTCGCATATCACTGGTATCTTGAGGTAGTGAAACACTAAAACTGGTAGAGATTTTGATCCAGAATTTTACAGTGAACCCAAATATAAAGTCAAAAAGCTTATTTGAGATTTGAGAATTCGGCAAAAAGGACGAAGTTCAGATGTTCTGACGGTATTCACCCTAAATGGACGACACAGAAATGAAGTTGCATCGTCACGTTTTCACACAATATGCAGATTTTCATGTTCTATCTGATAAAAATTAAAAAAATAGCTGTGGAACATAATCAAATACGACTGAATTCTATAAGATTATCTCATGATGTTCGACTCACGCTCATGCATATTATCGTAAAATGCAATCATATGTAGTTTGCCATGTAGAGCTTGATCTTGCAATTCTAAATAGAAATGTAGGGCTAATATCTTTGGAAGAGAAGAATGTAAGAACTGTCATTTTTTACGCTAAATACAACTCATTGAATTCTGCAATGCAGACTGCGTATCAATCCGTTTAACGATCATGTGTGCAATCATGACTTGAACCTCATGGGACAATTCTACAGAATAGTGTTTTGATCTTATTCCACAATTTGTTCTCTGCATTTGATATTTCACTGGACAGGACATTAAAACTTTACAAATAGTGTAAAATCTGATGCTACATCCGAATGTAATATCTGAGANATCAAAACATTTCCATGCATTAATGATTTCATAAGGAAAGATGATAAGAGTTTTCGTTCTTCATCTTAAAAACAAGTTGAATTAAACGTAGAATTTTCATAAATAAATTCAAGTAAACTTTTCTTTTGTTGATTTTCTTTTAATTGATCAACATATTTCCATATTGGAATAAGAATTGGTATTTTCTCTTTATTATCATTTGTATTATCAAATAATAAATTGTTTTCACCTAAACATTGTTTAGTCATATTTGTAACTAACCATTTTGATAATGTTGTCTTGCCTGAACCAGGATGATCAAGAATTATAAAATGTTTAAATTCATTAAATGCTTGTTGTATTTGATATTGTTTTACTTTTTGAAGATTATTTTTTTTTCAAAATACTTTGTTTTAGTTGATTTACTTTATTTTGAATGGCTATTGCTTCATCTTCAGTAAATATATTTTTATTATTTAAAAAAACATTTAACCATTGATCCATCATAAAATCTCGATAAATCGTTTCATGACTACATATATTTTTTTCTAAAATAGCTCTATTCGATTTTTTTCTTTCATTTTGGTTGAAAAAACTAGAAGATGTAAGTTTACGTTTAAATTCTTCACTAATTTCAAGTGTTTTCATTGCTTTAATAGATGGATGTGTTGGATCAAATTTTAATTCAACATAAACACTTTGTAAAGGTAAACTTATATTACTATTAGAATATCCAAAAATTGATACATATCCATATTCATTAATAAGATAATTCAAATATTTTTTTCGAACAATTTCTTGTTTATCTGTAAATGATAAATTTTCATGTATTAATGGTGTAAATGATTTGAGATTTTTTATAAAATATAATAAATCTCGTAAAGTATAACCATATGGAAGCTCTTTGATATTCTCTAAAAATGAAATATCTGATGTTTTATTAAAAATTTTATTTGTATTTGATGTAACAAGTTTATAAATTGATAATGATTTGTGATTTGTTAAACGGTATAGCCATTTCAATAAATTCGAAAAATTTGAATCTGACATGTCAGCACCATATCCAATTAATAACAATGTTTTTCTTTCCATAAGTGCTCCTAAATTTGATAGTCCTAATGTTTTTTTGGGCATTTGATTATAATCATCACTACTAAAAATGACAGTATCAGATTCTTCAAAATATCTATGTATATGTAAAATATAATTTTTGAGAACGTCTAATGAATTATCAATATCTTCAATATAATATTTATTCCAAGTTAGTGGCTTCTTATTAAGTATTTCTGCAAGAAGTGCATCATAGTTAGTTGTTAAAATAGGACATCCTAATTCTCCTATAGCTTCAATAAGTTCCGCTCTTTTAACTAATAACTTTCCTAGTGTGTCTCTCAACCATAGTTTATAAGCATCGCCTCCTTTTTTCAAACAACATTTAATTCGATCGGTGGCATGTAAATAATCTTCAACTTCTGCTGTGTTACTCTTAAATTTAATAAAGAAATTTTCAAATTCTTCGTCACTAATCCAACTTGAGTCATGACATTGCTGAAGTCCATCGTATACTAATCCTTTCCAATGAGAAAATTCTTGTTCACCATTCGTCGTATAAATAGATACGCCTTTACCAATAAATATTATTACATTGTTTAAAGCTATTTCCTTTTTAATCTTTTGAATTTCGTCAACCATTTGAGAAGTTATGATCTCAAATTTATGTATATAGAACAGAGTGTACTATACCCAATATATCAAAAGACTACTCATAATAATAAGAATGATCTTCGATTGATTGATCTAATTTTATATAAAAATAGTATAAATTGATACCATTCATGTTAGCGTTCATGATAGATCACTTGGACGCTAAACGGTGATTAAGATGCGCCTTCTAGGCTAATTGGCTTAGGACATTTGCCCGGATAGTAGAAGGTATGGGTTCGAGTTCCATGAAAGTAATCTTTTTCATCGTTCTATCGCATAACATTAGTGAGACTGCTTGTCTCTCGTTCGTTCTACACATATGGAGTTAACAATTCACACGGTAAAATACATTATATAAAAACAAAATCTACTCTATTCAATGAGGGTGAGTGTGAGATCTTACATCTACATCCATACTCACTCTTGCCCTTGTACAACTCGGTGTTCACTTTCTGAGTCTGTCAGTGTTGGATTTAATTCAAGACCTTTTCCCGTCAATGCCGTTGCCAAAACAATGAGTCATATTTGATGAAAAAATGTGGACTGAATACATACGTCTTAGACAGATGTATATTGGACAATGAAAATTATTAATAAATGATGAAACGTTTCGATAGTAAAAAGACATACTTTCTTCTATTTCGAAGATTTACCTACGTCTATTTGCTTTGCACACAACACCACCATGCATAAAATGAAAAAAGAAGTGACTGACTATTTGTTTGCTCCAAACAGAAAAGAATCTTTTTTTTCTTCCTTTCACAGTAATTGCACGCGCAATAAACTTGTTTTTTCCTAAGAATAAAAACAAATATTCGATACTCTGCTGGTATGTAGTTGGAGGATAGAACAGTTGGAAATAAATAACTAATGAAGGAGTATAGAGCTAAGGTATGAGCGTGCCTAAAAACGAACCGAGGTTCAGACTTATATCCAGTTCGAATTATTGTCAACGATGATACGCCTATCAACTCGTCTTTTTGTCCTAGAAAAGATTTTGTGAGATAATTGAAATTTGAATAGGATTTTCACTATAAAAGATTCTTATTAGTTTCTCGTTTTGTTCAGCAACACAGTTAGACAACTAAGTAGCTGTCTATCTTTCGAATTTCTCACTGAACGATCAGGTATATTTGGAGAGCTTGAAATTTTTTATTTTTGAACATAATAGGAAATTTTTCTCTACGATGAAGAAGTGCGAAAAAAAATGTTGAGATCTGATAGAATTTCTCTTGCGACGTTCATTAGTTTCTGCATATGATGAAAGATTTAAACATGAATATTTAGGTTGCTTGATATTGACATATTGGAAAATTCTCTATCACATTGATTTGATCGACTGAATTTTAATGTTTTAGTGATCGTGTACAAAATCAGAATGATTCTCTTGAAAAGATAAATTCTTATTCACTATGAGCTGATCTTCATAATAAAATAATTGTTCGAGAATACTTCTATTAATCGTACAATTATTTTTATTTAATTATTTAATAGATAATATTCAAATGACAATCGTCAATGTAAGTCAATATACAAAAATAAGATATTAAACAATATGTTCATGTTCATTCAAATACATTTTTTCAATTATGTCTTCAACTAGTGTATTTTGAATTATTAAATAACACTAAAATTTGATCCTGATGCTCTAGTAAAAATAAGTATGATTGTAATGATGTATTTATTATAAAGTAACATTTTTTCTTAGCACAAATGTCTATCTACTTCTGCTTGTAACAGTTCGTTTCGAATATAAAAACAAAAACATTAATTATTTTAGCAAGATTTTTATCGAAATATCTTAGAGACTTCAAAATATATTGTTGATAGTATTAAAGTGAAGAATCATAATATTTCATAGCATGTGCATTAATTTGATCATGACATTGAATCTCCCATTTGCTAAGGATATGATCATCGTTCTGCTGTTGTGTTACAGAATCTTCATGAACATGTTTATATGCTGTTGTTTGTTGTAAGGATTGTTCCGATTGTGATGATGCTAAAAGAAAAAAAAGGATGTTCATGAAAAAAGAAAGAATATTGTTATTTAGTTAACCTTTTGTTACTGTTATCGTCGACGTTTCTAGAACACGTTCACCATGTGAATATTTTATACGATGTTCATCTGATCGATCTTGACAATTCTCTTGATCACGACATGGAATAAGAAAATATGGCAAATCTGTATGACGATATTGAGCTCGATGAAATGGATCACATAAATCTGAACAATGCCTATCCAAAATACATTTCGATACTTGACGAGATTCATGTATTAGATGAGGTTCTTGATTTCGACAAAGTTCAGCAAAACGACATGGATGTGAAAATTTCGAATTATGTGTTGGCCCTTGTTCAGAATATTGAATAAGACAATTTATATTATCAGGACATGGTATTAAGGATAAACTATGATCACCAACGAAGAAATTCATCACTTGATCTTTGACTTGAATAATTTTATCTTTCACTTGATTAACAAAACCAACTGATTTTTCATCTTTATTATTAGATGTGTCGAATGATGAAACATTATTATCAATATCATCTTGAATATTAGTTGATATTGATGTTGTAGATAAAAATGAAACTTTCTTAAAATTTTTATCAAAAGCTGGATCTAAATCCAATAGTTTTTCGAAAGTAACAATCAAATTTCGTATAGGTACTGTACGAGTTCCAGCACTTACATGAATAAAATTTAATTGATTTAAATCAAGATCAACTTTAGAAAATGTACAAGAAATTTTTTCATGATTATAAATAGAATTTGGACCTGCATGTGATAAAATAACTTTTCCTGTTGAACGTTGAATTTCAAGACAAAATGTCATAAAATCATCTGTATTACATCCAAGATAAAATGATGTTGATTTAGCTGTATATCTTCGTTCAGCAAGTATAATTTCATGTTGAAAAGGTCGACCACTATGTAAATATGATACATATTCATGATAATGAATATCATTTGTTGAAGGTTTTTCAGCAATATAACATATTAAACAATTTAAATCAGGTTGTGATTCTCCTGTATCAATTTGTTTATTTGATAATGTTAACATCATATCTCCATTCATAACTTGCCAATAAATATAAACTGTAATATTATTTGATACATTTGAATGATCAATTTGATATTGTTCATATGCTTGTGAAATAGTTAGAGGTAATACAAAATGATCATTAAAATTAATTGATGGTATTGTTATAACAGAACCTTGAATAGGTCTTATTATTGAATGAATATCACGTTGACCAAATTTATCAATTAAATCTTGTATAACAAAATTTTGATATTCTTCTCGAGCTTTTGAATTAGGTTTTGGACCGATTTCTTTATCGATTGGATTAAGTTCAATTTCATGTGATGTTTTCGTAATACGATTTTTAAATATAGTATCAATAGATTTACGTGCATAAAGACTTAATGAATCGAATGTATTCTGTGTCATATATATATGATCGATATAATCAAGTGGAATAAGTTGAGGTAAACGAGCTTCAATATTCATATGAGAATCGACATTAATCCAACGATGAAGAATTGTTTTTAAATCAATATTCATTGATTTTTTCTTTAGAGTTTCACTTGTCGTAGCAATGAGTTCAAGAGCAGTTGCATATTCATAACCTGTTACTGATGCATGTAATTTTGTATTGTGAAACAAACGAATTCGATCATTTGATAAAGTTGAATCATTACCTAACCATGGACGCCATTGAAAACATTGACCAAGTGCATATGTTATTGCTGCTTGAATAGAAAAACTTGCATCTGGATGATGAAGAATTTCTCGTTTAAATACAATAAATATATCACCATAATAATGACCTAAATGTGGTCCAAGAATACTAAAAACATTTTTATTTGTACCTAATTCTTGATCAGGTGCATTACCAAGACCAGCTGGATTTGAATGAAGTTTAATAGAAGCTTGAGCTATTTCAATAGATGTTGTTTTAATTGTTTCCATATCATCTTGAGAAAGTATGGACGAAAGAATGACTTCTTTATTTTTAATTAATTGTTTTCGAGATTCTGATATGACTATATCAGGAAGTAATGGTTCAACTTTTGATATGATATCATTGATATTTGTATTTTCAAAACGATGTTTTTCAAATTCGTCTGTAACTAATGCATTAACATATTCTCTTGCATCTTGTGCACATTTTTTCTCTTTTAAATATTTAATTCGTCGTAATCGACTATGTTGAAGAATAGAATTTGCAACAAATATTGGCTTCTTTAATTGTTCTATATAATCTCGACTCATTACATGTCCATGAAGAAGTATCGATTCTAATATTTCTGATTTACATCTATGAACAGGTTGAACAGTCGATATCCAATCGATAATTTCATGTGGAATTGATTCTAATTTTAATGGTTCCCAATTTTCTTTATTTATATAATTTATAACACGTTCTATATTATTCTTTTGATTTTCAACAAAATTAATATCTTTATTTAAATTATAATAACGAACAACACCACTATCTTCAAATGTAATAATATGTCGAAATTTTGATAAATGTTTAGGATCACGACGAGCATAACATTTATCAGCATATTTACATAAAAAACGAATATCACGAATATTTGGATGTGTAAATGAATTTAAATGATCTTCTTGTACAAGTTTATCACATTTATTACTCAAAGAACAAAGATAACGAGGTACATGAATAGATTTTTCCCAATGTAATGAATCTTTATCATTACAATTTCGTCCAAATCGACATACATGAGCAAAATTTAAACAATGTTGATGAATATCATGTGAAAGTAATTTTTTATTTTTTGTTATTATAAATTGTTCATGTAATCGACAATGATATGGTGTAAATGGACATGGTTTTGGAAATGGATGTTGATAATTTTCATAATGTTTTTTATTATGAAAATAAACACAATGATTTTCATATTGACAACGAGGCATACAATGACGATATTGTTCACAATGACTTTTAATATGTTTTTGATATTCTAAACATTTTTGAAATGAATTACACAAAGGTAAATGTCGATAAGCTTTTTCATGATCATCACTTGTATCTTGACAATATCCTCCATTTGGACAATAAGATGGATGTTCATATTCTTGAAAATGTTTATCATTATCAATATCTTTACATAGTGCACCATATTTACATGGACTTCGATGAATTAATAAATATCTATGAACAATATCATTTATTTGTGTACATGTACCTGTTAAACATTGTTGTTTACATAGTGATGGATGAGAATAGTTTTGAGAATGTTGTCTATCATAAATTTCATTACATGTAGCAGCAAAATGACAAGGTTCTAAATCAAAAATAAGTACATTTGATATATTTAAACCATCTGATAATACTCGATAAGGACCAAACATTGTATTTGGTTGATTTAATGGTAAAATTGGTTCGAGATATAATTCATCTAATTCATTTTTAAATGATTGAAAATTTTCTTGTCGATTATATTGTTGTTCAATATGATGATCATTAGAAATAGCAAAAATTATTTTTTGAAAAAATCCAGCATATTGTTCAATAACTGAACGAAATAATTTTGCTATATGATTCGATGGATTTTTAAATGTACCACAACCAAAAGCTGATAAAATTAAACAATCATGTTTATTATAATAAGCAATAGAAAAAATATTTTCAATTTTTTTTCTCATTCCAATAGCATATTTAGGTGATAACATATTTCCATCTAATTTTGGATTACAATATGCAGACATAGCTAATACATGAACATTTTCTAATGGTGTATTCATATAATCATAACCATTATCTTGTGATTTTCGAAAAAATGTTAAACCACTTGTATAAATAGCTCCATATTCATCCATAGGATACATTGTTTTTGGATTTGAAAGAGAAAGAATTTTACCATTTTCTGAACAATAAAATCGTTCTGATATTTCGTCTTGAATATGATCAAGATCAATATCAAGACTTCGAAAATAATCTGATCGTCGAAAAAGATTTTCTTCTTGTGCTTCATCACCTTTTCGATAACCACCACCGGGATTTGTTGCACATGCCATATTTAAAAGAAGTGGTTTCTTATATTTTTTTGAATATTTTTCATAGATAATAACACAATCTTCATTGATTACTTTAACTTCTGTTTTTGAATAAGGAATAACATTCAATGGAATAGATCCACCATATTCTAATAATGATTTATGATTGTAGACAATTGTTATTAATTTTGGATTTAAATTTAATGTTATTTGTTGATCATTAATTTGATAACTTTTTTTTCGTATAATTCCAATTGTATTTAACATAACAGTCATTTGAAGTAAACGACGAATTTGATCCGATGATATATTTGATCTATATCTTGAATTAATATTAATTGTACGATATTGAGATTTTGTATTTTGATATTGTTGAAGCCATATTTCAGCATTCCATTTGTAACGAAAAATTGGATGATCAAGATTAGCAACAAATTGCATTATATCTGGTTTATAACGAATCATTTCATAATGATACCAAGTTTCAACATCAATTTCATGATCTTCTGGATTATTAAAAGCTGTATAGATTTCCATTTTCAATGTTGGTTTACCATTAATATGAAGAACTCCTATTGCTAAACAATTATCAAAAACTTGTTTATCTGATATTTCAAGAATAAGATTATGTCCATATCGTTCAATAATTGTTGCTTTTCCTTCAAATATTGTTTGTTTTAAGATAGTATCATTATCATGAATATCAGATATTGGATGAAGAAGTAAACAACAAGTTAAATTTTCTTTTTTTGATATTGGTTTGTCATCAAGATAGAGAAAACTTTTTGTTGCCCATTTTCGAGCTAGATCAGTAGCAATAATACATGCATTATTTGTTTGTTTATTTAATTCAATATGTAGTAATGATGATGATATATTCTGCATATCAATTGAATTACTTATTGCTTCTTGTAATTGTTCTTTTGTTATAGATTTTGGTAGATCTTCTAAAAAACTACAATCTGCACCAAAATAAACATGAGCAAATACATTATTAATTGAAAAATTTGATTTTGACATAACATGAAATAAATCATCGAATGAATTCGAAATAATACGATAAATATTTGGAAATTGAATACTAACTTGATCACATGAAAGAGGTTTTTGTATATTATAAGTTTGAATCCATTGATGAAGAATTTCTTCAGATGTTGGTAAATTAATATCTTTATTTTCGTTAGTTCGATCAATAACAATGTATGAAACAAGTTCAATTGTATCACTGAATGTAATCATTGATGTATCACCTGTGGGATCTAATACAGTCTTTTGAATATCTTGAATTAAACGACTTTTAATTTCATTGTTACAAACACAAATAAAACCAGCACCTAATTTTGAATAACATCTAATACTAATTGGTGTTATTTGAAAAGATTTTTCTAAACGATTGTAAATCAAATTTTCTAGATAAGCATCATTATCAATATTTGATGGTAAATCAGAAATATATACAATTGCTTCACACTTTGAAGAGTATTGTTCATCATTGAATGAAGAAAAATTATCGAGAGTTGAGAAATTGCCATTCATAGATTCTATTAAACAAGTAAAAAAAACAATAAAGTTTCGTTTTAGATTTATTAGAAATAAATCATAAGAAACTTCGATGATAAGTATACAGGTGGTCCAAATAGTATTCGGACACCCATATATACCCTCGTATTCCATTATTTGTCTCGTAGAAGTCCGAGATTTTTTTTACTACAGGTAGCCCACAACTTATAGTATATGCCATATAAAAACAGCAAATATGACCAAGGTGTTGAATTAGAACGACATTTCGCACGAAAACATAGGATTTTTCAAAATTCCAACCATAATGTGGGTAAGAGAGAACAATATTTTTTTTTCAAAATTAATCCAAAGCTGCATCACTAACATGCACATCAAAGCTTGTACAAAGATGAGTGTTATAAAAGGTTTTTATCATTAAAATTAAAATTAAATGAAGACTATTGTATTTTAATACTGATACTATATGTAATCCTCAGACCAATAGACAACTACTTTTCTAGGAAAAGTTAGTATNGAATTATTGATTCGAATATTTCTGGTTTACATCGATGAACAGGTTGAACAGTACGTATCCAATTAATGATATTTTGTGGAATTGATTCATTTTTTAATGTTTCCCATTTTTCTTTTTTTATATAGCGCATAACTCGTTCAATGTTATCTTTTTGATTTTGAACAAAATCAATATTTTTATTTAAATTATAATAACGAACAACACCACTATCTTCAAATGTAATTGTATGTCGAAATTTAGTTAAATGTTTTGGATTTCGACGATCATAACATTTATCAGCATATTTGCATAGAAAACGAATATCACGAATATTCGGATGTGTAAATGAATTCAAATGATCTTCTTGAACAAGTTTTTTACATCGATTAGCAAAAGGACAAAGTGGACGAGGTACATGAATCGATTTTTCCAAATGTAAAGTATCTGTATCGTTACAGTACTGACCAAACTGACATACATGAGCAAAATTCAGACAATGTTGATCGACTTCATCCGAAATATTTTCTATATTATTTGTCATGGTAAATTGTTCATATAATAAACAGTGATATGGTGTTAGTAAACATGCAGTTGGAAACGGATGTTTGTACATTTCCATATGTTGTCTATCATGAAAATTAATACAACGATTTCCAAATCCACAAGAAGGATGACAATGACGAAATTTTTCGCAATGGGTTCTGATATGTTTTTGATATTCTAAACATTTTTGAAAAAATGGACACAAAGGTAAATGTCGATATGCTTTTTCATGATTATCAGTTGTATCTTGACAATAACTTCCATTAGGACAATAAGAAGGATGTTCATATTCTTGAAAATGTTTATCATTATCAATATCTTTACATTGAACACCATATTTACATGGATTTCGATGAATAAATGAAGATATATGAATAAAATCATTGATTTCTGTACAATTACCTGATGAATATCTTTTTTTACATAAAGTTGGATGAGAATATTTTTGAGAATGTTTTAAATCATATAATTCATTACATTTAGCAGCAAAAGGACAAGGTTGTAAATCATAAATGGAAATATCATTTATATTTAAACCATCAAATGAAATTCGATAAGGACCAGATATTGTATTTGGTTTATTAAATGGTAAAATAGGTTGAAAACAAAATCCATCTAATTCATCTTTAAATGATTTAAAATTTCCTTGTGGATTATGTTGTTGTCCAGTATTATGATCATTAATAATAGCAAAAATAATAATTTGAAAAAATCCAGCATATTGTTCAATAACTGAACGAAATAATTTTGCAATATGATCTGGTGGATTTTTAAATGCACCACAACCAAATGCTGATAATATAAGACAATCATGTTTATGATTATATGCAATTGAAAATAAATTTTCAATTTTTTTTCTCATTCCAACAGAATATTTTGGTGATAATATATTTCCATCTAATTTTGGATTACGATATGCAGCCATAGCTAATGAATAAACACCTTCTAATGGTTTTTCCATATATGAATAACCTTTATCTTCTGATTTTCGAAAAAAAGTTAAACCTGATGTATAAATAGCTCCAAATTCTTCTATTGGATACATTGTTATAGAATCAGGAAGTAAACAAATTTCACTATCAGATGAACAATAATATCTTTCAGCTATTTCTTCATAAATATGATCAAGATCAATATCAAGACTTCGAAAATAATCTGATCGTCGAAAAAGATTTTCTTCTTGTGCTCCATCACCTTTTCTATATCCACCACCTGGACTTGTTGCACTTGACATATTTAATAAAAGTGGTTTTTTATACATTTTACAACATTCTTCATAAACAATAACACAATCTTCATTTATTACTTTTACTTTTGTTTCTCTATAAGGAATTTTTATTAATTCTATTGATCGACCATATTCTAATAAAGATTCATGATTATAAACAATTGTTTTTAATTTTGAATCTAAATTCAATGAAATTTCTTGATTATTTAATAAATATTTTTTCTTTCGAATAATTGAAATTGTATTTAACATAACAGTCATTCGTAGTAAATGACGAATTTGATCAGATGATATATTTGAATGATTCTTTAAATTTGTATTTATCATTAGATTTGAAGGTTTTGTATTTTGAAATTGTTCAAGCCAAATTTCCGAATTCCATTTGTAATGAAATATTGGATGATCAAGATTAGCAACAAATTGCATTATATCAGGTTTATAACGAATCATTTCACTTTGATACCATGTCTCAGCATCAATTTCACGATCTTCTGGATGGTTAAAGTTTAGAAAAATTTCCATTATCAATCTTGGCTTATGTTTAATACTAAGAACACCGACGGTCAAGCAATTATCAAATATTTTCTTGTCTGATATTTCAAGGACAAGATTTTCTCCACGTCGTTCAATAATTGTTGCTTTTCCGTCAAATATTGTTTCTTGTAAAATTTCCTCATTAGTAAAAATTTCAGATATTGGATGGAGAAGTAGACGACAAGTAAGTGTTTCTTTTTTTGATATAGGTTTGTCGCCAAGATAAATAAAACTTTTTGTTGCCAAGAGTCGAGCTTGATCAGTAGCTATGATACATGCATTGTTTGTCTGTTTATTTAATTCAATATGAAGTGATAATGGAGAAAGATTTTTTATTCGAATTGAATCGCTTATAGCTTCTTTTAATTGTTCTTTCGTTGTTGATTTTGGTAAATCTTCTAAATAACTACAATTTGCACCAAGATAAACATGTGCAAATAGATTATTAATTAAAAAATCGGGATTTGACATAACAACGAGTAAATTATTGAATGAAGTCAAAATAATTCGATAAATATTAGGAAATTGAATACTTATTTGTTCACACGAACATGATTTCTCTTCATTATAAATTTTAACCCATCGTTTAAGAATTTCATCAGATTTTGGGAAATCTACATCTTTGTTTTCATTTGTTTTATCAATAACAATATATGAAGTAAATTCAAATGTATCATTGAATGAAATTAATGATGGATTTCCTGATCGGTCTAATACCAGTCTTTTAATATCGTTAACTAGACGATCTTTTATTTTATTGTTACGAACATGCATAAAACCAAAACCTAATTTTGAATAACATTGGATACTTGTCGGTGTAATTTGAAAAGTTTTCTGTAGACGATTTCGAATTAAATGATGTAATTGAAGTTCATCGTCGATGTCTGCAGGTAGATCGGAAATGTAGACAATAGCTTCACGCTCTGAATCGTATTCTTCATTGTCGAATTCGATTGATTGAAATTGTCTTTTCGACTTTGTTGATACGGGGCTAAACTTTGACCAGTAGGTTTCTTCAAACCCTGAAGGGGACCTAATGAATGTCGGAGAATCGGCCTCCATGAATTCTGCAAAAATTAATATTGAAGAGTAAGTTAATATTTTAGCTGTATTAGAAATTTTTCTGAATAGGATTTTTTTTAGGCATTAGAATCATATATAAATCTTCGATTTGATTATTGTAATGCACACTTAGAAAAAAAAACTATTGCTCTGCTGCTGATGTCGGATAGGATGCGACTTTCTGTACTCCTTTCATTGAATGATACGATAAACGACGTAGCAGACTGGAAGCTGCGTCTAACTTTAACAGGTTAGCGTTTTTTAATCGATTTTTACTCGTATTTTTTTGGCATCATAATATCTCTTATAAAATAATGCTTCATTCTTCGAGTAGTCGCATATGCACAACAATATAGAGTTGAATATGCCATCAAAGAAAATTAATTAGGCGGTGTAGAACCAGACATACATATGCTCTTATAGAATGCTCATTTCAATTTTAACCTATTTCAGAATTAAATATGCACAAACTTCAGTTTGAGACGAGCTTCAATATAGTGCTTGTCATAGTGAAACTTATTCATCATGGAGTTAGGACAATTTTTAGTCAACATTGCTTACGATTTGTTTTGTAAATTCAACGAACAAATTATCAAAATGACGTAATAAAACAAATGGTATTTTATAAATAATGATTCTATCAACGACAAAATCCTTACTATCAACTTTCAGTGTTTGATATAGCTTCTTTTTTAGATAAAGTTCTAGCAATAGAGCTTAAAAGTTGATATGATTAAGGTACTGCTAACTGTTTAGATTAACATTTGAAGAGGTTAACAAAGATTAGACTTTTTTAAATTTCTTTCAAAAGTTTTTTCTATCCGTTTATTCATATTACTTATTCTATCATATTTACGTGATTTTATTTGAACATTTCTCAGTAAATTCTTTGTCGAAAATTCTACTAATGCTAAGAAATAAGTATCGTAATTCGAAGTATTATCAACATACAAATGTTCTTTGTTCGATAGTGAAACCGTTTGTTTTAGACTCTAGTGGAGTACTTCAGTATATCAACTATGCTTCGATTTTTGTTCTACTGACTATGATATATCTTTCTTAAAATCTTTAGAAATACTCGCAACAAAATTACTGCGAAATGTGCAATAAAATGATATAAATATGATAAATATAGATAAACAGATAAAAACATTAGCTAAAAAACGCATATTTTTATCAGGATTTTTACCTTGAATTCTCAAATCTAATGGTTTATTTTTATCATTTTTTGGACGTCTATTCGAAGACGTTACTTGATTGTATTCTTTTGTTGTTGCATCATCTTGTCGCTGTGAAAGTACAGCCGGTATTGAAGGCAGAACGAATCGTGGTGTTCCACAACATATACACCGTTTTGTTGATGGTTCATTGGTACCCGAACATTCATCGCATTGCCAATTATTTTCCTTTTTCTCAATTGTATTTTCAGTTCTTGCTGTTGAAAGAACATCTGCATTTATTTCTGCCTAGAAATATGCATATAATTTTACTAATCTAATCGTGTATATTTCTCTATATCATAGGAGTGATCATATACTGAAAATAACAAATATATTTTAAGGTATTTTTTAAATTTTATAAAATATGGAAAATTTGAAAACAAAACAAGACCTTACACTTTTATCTGGATTTATTCGATTTGAATTTTGTTCAGTAGGTTCGTTAATAGTTGTTGTTGTATTTTGAGATAATATTATTTTCAGATCTGAATCTTGATGACAGAAATGACAATCAGTTCTACCCCTTCTATCGAAACGATCTTGAGCACAGCGACGATGAAATGTATGATTACAGTTCGTGATTACAATATCATGTTTCCAATTCCATTCACTTTCACATATTGAACATTCTCCTTTTTTTGCTAAGTTTTTTAAAGCAAGTGCATTGCCAAGAGCTGAATCTTGATGACAGAAATGGCAATCAGTTCGATTTTTTTTATCGAGACGATCTTGAGCACAACGACAATGAAATTTATGATTACAATTTGTTGTTACCAAATCATCTGTTTCATTTAATTCATTTTCACATATCGAACATTCGTTTATTTTCAATGAAGACATTCGTATATCTAAAATTGAAAAATTTGTTCTCATATATCTTTCTCTATTAGATACATGAATAAAAACGAGACATTTTTTATTCGATTATTCAAGAATAAATTTTTGAAAATTATATAAGAAAAACGTATTTTTCTAAATTTTCTAAATTGTTTAATAGCATTCAGATTAACTTGAGATCTTTAAAAAACATAAACTGACGCATCAATCAGCATTCTTGATAAGAATTGTTACATTTCTGATAGGCCTGTCATACTACATACCAGTCACACGACATTGTATCTCTGTACAATATGTTTTTTGCTTTCTTTATCGTCATGCACGCTTACAAGATGTTTTTTTCTCTTGGAATATTTCCTTTTGGTGTTATCATCTTCCGTCTTTCTAAGCTTCGGCAATGTATTTTGCATTAATCTTTCTATAAACATATACGGTTGAATTACTAAAAACAAGAAAAGAGAAAGATATAGACGTATTTGGTGGAATATAGATCAAATAGTAAATCGAGACAGAAAATTTTTACGATTATAACTGTTGAAGTATTTGAGATTATGGAAATTACTGAGAAACTACGGAAACTATTAGGAAATTTCTAGTTTTCTTAACTTTTAATGCATATAAATTTAGAAATAAATTCTCATTGATTGCAGTTAGGGATACGCCAGATATAGTATGTCCCTTATTAACTATACTATATCGTTCGTTGGATATTTTTCTGTTTTCTTGTACATGCATATCTAATACGCATAGACATCAGTTTTTTCTTGACATATATATGGACGACTGGCTCTATTATTTTTATCATATACAGTAGCTGTCACCAAAATTATCCAACAAGCAAGCCGAATTTTTTTTTATTTGGTTTATATTTCAAAAGCTAGATGAGCTGGAACACTCTGCTTTTCGTTATATCATAGCTCATGATTTCAATGATATTTTTTAGGTCGATCGATCTATCTATTAATATTTTATAGATGATGCAATCACACTATCCTATTTTTCATTCTTCCAACATTATTTAACAAGTTATTTTTACAAGTCACCATGTGCTTATTTTAAAATAAAATTTTCTTCATGACATATTGTTCCAAAGAGCAAAAATGTCGAAACAGAAAACTTCAAAGGACTATTTTTTTTCCAATAGTGTTTTGCTCATTTTAATATTTAATATATCATTAGAAAGCGCTTCAAACACTGTATCAAATATTCTAGTTATATAAAGGTATCAAGTGGATAGACATGAACATTTTTTAAAACAGACGTAAATTTGTAGAAAACTTATTTTTCTATAAAACTCTTGCATTTGAAACCAAAATTAATTGCATTTTCTGAACTTACACCTTTATATAGTAAAATTGGAATCGAGACCATTGTTGTGACCACAGTTAGCTTAATCCTTTGAGTCCCATAGTAGCAAAAAGGCTACACATGTTTTATAATTCTTTTTCACAACAACAATTAATAAAAATTGATACTTAGTCTATTAGAATAAAATAATAGAGAATGCTCTAGAATCCTCCCAAACAATCTGTCAATGAGATATATAGTTATTCATTGGAAAAGTTATGGGATGTTCTCAAACATTTTTCTAAAAAAAAGTATTGAAGACGGCGTTTCGGATTAATCCAGATCTCCAAAAATTAGTATGCAACATGAGCGGAGCACCGAATTCTTTTCTAATTTGCTACTATAATGCACGTTGTCTCCGTAACATAAGTAAATGGATTATGATAAAGAAATTCATACAAGGGAGTCATCTTTTGATGATAAAAATGATTCTTAGGATGAAAACGAAGGCGACTTTGAAATAGATGAAAAAGACGACACTGTCGAAATCGAAAGGGAAGCAGTTGAATTCCTTTCTTTTATCTCAATGTCATCAACTAATGACCAAAGTTCATGGAAAAGAAGAAGCAAACCTATCCGCTTTTCTACGAGAAAGGAAAAAGAAATCCAACAAATGTTGTGGAACAAATCTTCATCAGCTCAATTATCAGCACATATGAGTGTTGCTGAATCCAAAGGAACATGTAGATACTGTAGTACGAGAGCTTCTCCAGTGTTTAATAGCATGACATGCAGCTATTGCGGCATTTATCTTTGTGTAAAAAAAATTGATTTTTATTATTTCATGAAAAACTTGTATAAGTGTTGGAAGTAATAAACTTTAGCGATCACAATATCCATTCAAGTATAGCAAGATTCAATAAAACGTATACTGAGTAAATCACATAAGACCATAGGCGAGTTATTAATGCCATGCATTTATGTCCAAAATAAACTTATCTCATTCTACTTCATTTGAATCTGGCAGAAATAATTTGGGACTGAAAGGGTTAATATACTCCTGCTGTTTATAGCGATACTATGCTGTGTAACTTTAGAAAGTCCAATCAATTTTGATTTCAAATGTGGNTTTATCATTAGATTTGAAGGTTTTGTATTTTGAAATTGTTCAAGCCAAATTTCCGAATTCCATTTGTAATGAAATATTGGATGATCAAGATTAGCAACAAATTGCATTATATCAGGTTTATAACGAATCATTTCACTTTGATACCATGTCTCAGCATCAATTTCAAGTTCTTCAGGATCTTTAAATGTGCTATAGTTTTCTATTTTCAATATTGGTTTTGTACCAATACGAAGTGCACCGAATTTCAAACATTCATCAAAAATACTTTTGTTTGATACTTCAAGAATGAGTTTGTCTCGACGCTGTTCAATTACTTTTACTCCTCCATGAAATATTTTTTGATTCAAGATTTCCTCATTAGTATAAATTTCAGATATTGGATGAAGAACTAGGCAATATGTTAAATTTTCTTTGATTGGTATTGGTTTGTCATCAAGGTAGATAAGACTTTTTGTTGCCCATATTCGAGCTTGATCAGTAGCTATGATACATGCATTGTTTGTCTGTTTATTTAATTCAATATGAAGTGATAATGGAGAAAGATTTTTTAATTGAATTGAATCACATAGAGCTTCTTTTAATTGTTCTTTCGTTGTTGATTTTGGTAAATCTTCTAAATAACTACAATTTGCACCAAGATAAACATGTGCAAATAAATTATTAATTAAAAAATCTGGATTTGACATAACAACGAGTAAATTATTGAATGAAGTCAAAATAATTCGATAAATATTAGGAAATTGAATACTTATTTGTTCACACGAATATGGTTTTTCTCCATTATAAATTTTAATCCATCTTTTAAGAATTTCATCAAATTTTGGTAAATCTACATCTTTGTTTTCATTCGTTTTATCAATAACAATATATGAAGTAAATTCAAATGTATCATTGAATGAAATTAACGATGGATTTTCTGACAAATCTAATACGATTGTTTTAATATCTTTAACTAAACGATCTTTTATTTTTTTGTTACGAACACGCATAAAACCAGCGCGTAAGCTTGAATAACATTGAATGTTTGATGGCATAATTTGAAAAGTTTTTTGTAGATGCATGTGAATCAAATTTGCTAGATGAGCATCATCATGGTCAATATTTGTTGGTACATCAGATATGTAAACAATCACGTCAGATTCTGTTAATAATTTTGTTTGATCATATGAGAAATGTGTTTCAATAAAGCTTTGTTGATCTTGTTCTGTCAATGACTCCAAATCTTGTTTTGTCATTATCTGTATTATATCAGAAGTAGGCATGACGTTTGTTGAAGAAACTAAATCAAATAGTTCTATTTAAGGGACCAGAAAACAATTTTTGAAGATTTAATACATTCAACGACGGCAAGCTTTATGAAATTGTTCTTTTGAATGTTTTCAAACAAGAAATAAATCTTACCACTGAAAATATTGATCTATTTTTCTATGATTTTATCTGCATTGATAAAAATCGAGACTCACAACAAAAGAAACTTATCAGTTTCGAACAGGATTACTGGTTAGAGCGAAGACAACAGAAGAGTTTTTGCTCCTAAAATTGTTATACAATCTCAGGTGAATTCATGACCAAAAAGATATTTTCTCAAAGGACTCAAATGTAGATTATCAAAGTATATAGCATCCTGATAGGGTAGCGAAACCTACGAAACGAAGAAGAAAATGATAGTTGCTGCTTCCAATGACTTATCGAATATATTATTGTAAGAAAACAAGAGAGTTGTATATTCAAAAATCATTTTCGAAACGATAAGATTTCAAAGTGCGTCCATCAAATATAAAAACTTATTATGTGGATTTATTCACTCATTTGGTAGTAACACGTTATTTTAGATCCATGTTTTATAGTGTCCCTGATTTACTAATATTCAGTATGCAGTTTTCTGTCAAAAATATATTTGATTTCATCATATGATCACAATAAATTGATGTTTTTTCGATACTTTAGCGTAAAAAAAATATACAATTTCGGCATTCACAGTAATCATAATATATGAATATTCTGATTGTTGTCTTTCTGAATAGAAAACCACATATTGAATATTAGCGGAAAAAAGTTGATAGCTTGAGAGTGTAATTTAAAAATTATTAATGAAACTTTCGTAAGTCAAACGATCAGATTTTTTCATGAGTCGTATATGAAATTTTGATATAGAATTTGTATAGGATATTATTTAGTTTTTCGAAAACATCTTACATTTTTATATTTTAACCATGATTGCATTAATTAAATCTATTAATTTATTATAGTAAAAGTTCTTGTTCTTACTTGATAGTAATGTTTGATCATATTCTTTTTCGTTGTCTATTTTGTCAGCAGATATTAGCGAGATACCATATCGTGATTTTCCACAATTTTGACATCGTTTTATTGATTCTTCATTATTAATTGAACATTCTTCACATTCCCAATAATTTTCATTTGTATTAATCGAATTTTCAGGATTTGATACAAGAGAAAAACATTCCGCGTTCTTCATCTAGAAAATAATTACAAGATCTAATTTAGATATTCTATCTCTGCCGACTTCAGCTTATTTCTTTTGTCTCTTAACAAAGTATTTCAGAAGAATCAACAACTAATGTGTTACAAACCAGAGTTTTGTGTACTTTCCGAATAGACTTCAGAAATGTTGTATCTTTTGTTGTAAGGAAGAAATAGAAAAGTCTTTGAAAGACTTGAAAAATTGGTTTATGCGGTAAACACACATACATGCAAAATGTGATATCGAAAGAAAATTTCGACATAAAATGGGGTTAGATCAAAAGTTGATTTTTCAAAAAATGAGGACGAAAATAAAATAAAAATCTTGCTATCTTATCGAAAGAGGATGAAAAAAAACAAACAGTACATTTTGTAGAGTTTGCATCCGTACTTGTTAGTATTTAATTAGAGTAAATCGAAATTGATATTTTTCTGTATATGATAAAAATATAAACGAGAGAAATAACTTACATATTTCAATGGATCATAAATTTCCTCCATAGATTTTGTAATTTTGCTTGTCATATCTTGAGAAAGTGCATTGAAACCAGCAGAATCTTGATAATATAAAGAACGATGGGATTTATTTATTGTATTGATTACACTCTGATTAATATATCATTTGTATCTCTTAGTTTATTTTTACATATATGTATATAAAGCATTTGTTATTTGTCAACAAAGATATTTTTTTTAAATCTAAAATTGAAAATTTCTTTCATATTTGGTTTCATATCTCATAGACATGAATCGAATTCTTCAATATCAATTTTTTCATCCCTAGTAAAGTCTTATAGATTCTCTAAAAAAAAAACAACATGCTGGAATAGTGAGTTCTAGTCATAGAAAAAATTATCTTCTGCCTGAAGTATGTTACGAAACTCAGCCACTTCACAACCATCCAAACTGCTTGTCACTGAAAAAAATTGTTTGAGAAAAATGATTCGGATCAAAAGAAAGATCATGAACATCTGTGAGAGTTAATGAAAATAATTTTGATGCTAGTGAGATAAGTTTCGATCATCTTTGAAAAGTTGTATGTTTGAAATATCAACATAAATTACTAATATTTATCAAGAAGCATGTCTTTACATTTTAATATACACAAATTATCTTGGTAGTTGTGAATTAAAACATTACTGACTTGTATTTACTAATTATTATTAATGATCATTATTAATATTCATAGTTGATTAAGATCGTTGCTGAATGAATACTCGACGCCAATATGAAATCTTGGATTAAGATTTTAGAGACGTTATCTTGAAAATAATTGAGTTGTACACAAAGGACATGTTGTTGTGTTATGCGGAAAGGTGAAGTGATAACACAAAACAAAAAACGTGGTCAATGAAAGAAGATTTATTATTCAGATTAAAATATACTAAATACGAGTATTTTTTTTCAGCATCTTGAGATTGAAAGTAGTCAGTTATTTGTAGTTTTCGAGACAATTGTGAGAAAAATAAACCAATGTCAAAAATGAATTTGTCGACAATATTCGAAGTCGATCTTTTACTCAATTCAAATATAGAATTGTCATATTCGATTGAAAAAGAATGTCTTATTTTAATCTGTACATATTTCGCTCGATCCGTTTTATTTTTTCATTTAAAAATAATAGATATTTTCCTTACAGTCCCGATCTTGACCAACGTACGTTAAGCTGCAGTAAAATCAGCTAACTGAGAGGTAATTGACTATGTATTAATTAGTAATATTTATATTCTATTTAAAAGTAATTGAACAATACTATATTAAGATTTTTCGATATTTTGATTCTATGTAACGTAAAGAACAAATAATTCGAAAACATTGATTTATGATCCTTTGATTATATTCGAACTGAAAAATAAACATCATCACTCTCCATGCTATATCATCAATTATCCATACACCAACTGATAGTAAACTAATTTATGTGTCGATCGAAAGAGAAGATTGTTTTTTGAATCGAATAGTAGTAATTTAAACTTAAATTGAGTAAAAACAAAAGTCGAACTCGAATACTATAAATCAGTGGGGAAGCCAGAATTTTGGACTCATCAGTGCTATAAATATCTTGTCCATGCCTTTCTTTTCTATTATCGAAAGCTACAAATGACTGACTACTTTTACTGTTAATCGTTAAAAATAACAAAGTATTGTTATTCATTTCAAAGACGAAGAAAAAAATATGTTCAAGTAAACTTGTATTGATTGTTTGATAGACTCTTCACCAAATATCTTGATATTGTGTCAAACTCAAGGATGAGCATATTTCATTCGATGAGTACTAGTTTGATCATGACATTGTACACCCCACTTACAACGAATACGGGCATCATTCTGTTGCGGAACAATATCTGAATGAGAATACTGATTGCAATGTTGAGAATCTAAAATATCTCGACATTTTAATCCCCATTTGCAAGGTTTGCGTTCATTAAGATTATGATCCTGTCGTTGTAATGATTGTTCGGAATCTGATGATGCTAAAGAGAAGTATTCATAAAAAAAACAATCTTCAAGAGTTTACTATACCTTGTAATTCAATTGTACTTATTGTTTCAATAACACGTTCACCATGTGAATATTTTATCCGATGTTGATCCGATCGGTTACGACATTTTTCTTGATCACGACAAGGAATAAGAAAATCTGGCCAACCTGTATGACGATATTCAGCTCGATGAATTGGATTGCATAAGTCTTTACAAATTCTGTCAGAATTACATCGAGGTACTTGATGAGGTATATGTGTCAGATGAGGTTCTGGATCTCGACACAGTTCAGAAAAACGACATGGATGTGAAAATTTTGAATTATGAGTTGGTCCTTCATCGGAATATTGAATAAGACAATAAATGCCATCAGAACATGGTTTTAAAGATGAGTCATTGCCATCATCGAAGAAATCTTTCACTTTGTCCTTCACTTGAATGGCTTTATCTATCACGCTACTAACAAAGCCAACTGATTTTTTATCTTTGCCATCGGATGTCTGCAAAGACGATTTATTATTATCAATCTTATCTTGTGTAATAGATGACATTCTTCTGGGTAACAACGATGAACTTTTTGCAAAATTTCTGTCGAACGTTGGATGTAAATCCTTTTGTTTCTCGAAAGTGATAAATAAATTTCGAATAGGTACTGTACGAGCTCCAGCACTAATATAAATAAAATTTAATTCAGTAAGATCAAGAGTTGATTTAGAAAATGTTGAAGAAATTTTTTCATGATTATAAATTGAATTTGAACCTGAATGAGATAAAATAACTTTTCCTGTTGAATATTCAATTTCAAGACAAAATGTCATAAAATCATCTGTATTACATCCAATAAAAAATGATCTAGATCTAGCTGAATATTTTCGTTCACTAACAACTATTTCATGTTCAAATGGTCGACCACTATGTAAATAAGAAACATTTTCATAATAATGACAATCTTTTGTTGAAGGTTTTTCAGCTATATAAGATATTAAACAACGTAAATTTCCTTGTGATTTTCCTGTATCAATTTGTTCATTTGATAATGTTAACATCATATCTCCATTCATAACTTGCCAATAGATATAAACTATTACATTAGTCGATACTTTTATATGACTCATTTTATATTGTTTATATGCTTGTGAAATTGTTAATGGTAATAGAAAATTATCAGTAAATTCCGTTGATGGTATTGTTATAACAATACCTTGAATAGGTCTTGAAATAGAATGAATATCACGTTGACCAAATTTTTCAATTAAATCTTTTATTACAAAATCTTGATATTCTGCTCGAATTTTTGAATCAGGTCTTGGACCAAATTTTGGTCCAAATTGGTTCATTTCAATTTCATGTGATGTTTTAGTAATACGATTTTCAAATATAGATTTTATTGTCTGACGAGTCTTATCATCAAATGAATCAAATATATTTTGTGGCATATAAATATGATCAATATAATCTAGTGGAATAAGTTGAGGTAAATGACCTTCAATATTTGCATGAGAATCAGAATTAATCCAACGATTAAGTATTGTTTCTAAATCAATATTCATTGATTTCTTTTGTAAATAATAACTTGTTGTAGCAATAAGTTCAAGAGCAGTTGCATATTCATAACCTGTTACTGATGCATGTAATTTTGTTTTATGAAATAATTTGATTCGATCATCTTTCGAATCTGGATCAATACCCAACCATGGACGCCATTTAAAAGCATTACCACTAGCATAGGATGTTGCTGCTTGAATAGAAAAATTTGCATCTGGATGATGAAGAATTTCACGTTTAAATACAATAAATATATCACCATAATAATGTCCTGAATTTGGTCCGAGGATAGAGAAAACGTTTTTATTTGTTCCCAAATCTTTATCTGGTCCATAACCATAGCCAGTTGGATATGAAAGAAGTTTCATAGAAGCTTGTGTTATTTCAATGGCTGTTTGTTTAATTGTTGTTATTTCTTCTTTAGAAAGAATATATGAAAGAATAACTTCTTTGTTCGTAATCAATTCTTTACGATACTGCTGATTGTCTATATAAGACGACGATGTAGTCATTGTTGTGGTCTCATTTGAACTTTTGTTATCAGAGGCTTGTTTTTCAAATTCTTCTTTAACTAATTCGTAAATGTATTCTTTTACATCTTGTGCACATTTTTTCTGTCTTAAATATTTAATTCGTTGTAGGTGACTGTGGTGGAGGACAGAATGAGCAACAAATCTTGGATCTTTCAATTGTTCCATATGATCTCGACTCATAACATGTCCATGAAGAAGTATTGATTCGAATATTTCTGGTTTACATCGATGAACAGGTTGAACAGTACGTATCCAATTAATGATATTTTGTGGAATTGATCCATTTTTTAATGTTTCCCATTTTTCTTTTTTTATATAGCGCATAACTCGTTCAATATTATCTTTTTGATTTTGAACAAAATCAATATTTTTATTTAAATTATAATAACGAACAACACCACTATCTTCAAATGTAATTGTATGTCGAAATTTAGTTAAATGTTTTGGATTTCGACGATCGTAACATTTATCAGCATATTTGCATAGAAAACGAATATCACGAATATTCGGATGTGTAAGCGAATTCAAATGATCTTCTTGAACAAGCTTTGTGCATTTATTACCATATGAACAAAGGCAACGAGGCACATGAATCCATTTTTCCCAATGTAAAGGATCATTATCGGTACAATTTCGTCCAAATCCACATACATGAGCAAAATTCAGACAATGTTGATTAATCTCATTTGAAAGTGATGTTGGATCTTTTGTCAATGTATATTGTTCATGTAATGAACAATGATATGGCGTTAGTAGACATGGAGTTGGAAACGGATGTTTATACATTTCAATGTGTTGCTTATCATGAAAATTAACACAATAA